GGAAAGAGATGTTTAATTTTGGGTACCGTGGGATAAAAAAGCATATGCAACAGATTCATAGAGCAAACTTTAAAGGTCAAAAAATAGTCCAAGTACGGGGGAATAGAGATTTTATAACATTCAGGCTGCCATTTCTCTGGAACAGTATTCTTATAAATGTAATTTCAGAAATTCACACAATTTATCTTGAATACAAAGAAATACACTCAGGGATCAGACATCACCTATAACACAGTGTCACTGCTACAAAAGCCCTTGTTTTTTAGATACTACATATCCACAACTTCTGAGTACATTAATTCATGCCTTATAATATAGATTAAAAACTAATCTGGGGGGGACAGCAGGTGGCATGGTGGCTGAGGGGCTGGAGACTCCCACATGGCCAACCACAGTTCAAGACCTGGACCTGGTGACTTGCTTTCTTACTTTCTCTCTCTCTCTCTCTCTCTGGTCAAATATAAAATAAAAGAATGAATAAATAAATAAATAAAATAAATAATTCTTAAAAAATAAAAATCTTGGGGCCGGTAGGTGGCATAGTGGTTAAGGTGCTGGACACTCACATGGCTGACCATGGTTTGAGTCCTAAAGCTGGTAGCTTGCTTTCTCACTCTACCTCTCTCTCTGGTCAAAATGAAGAATAATGATAATAAATTAAATTAAATTAAATAATTCTTTTTTTAAAAAAAGAAAAAACCAATCTAATGCATATAATTAAAAGTTTAAAAGACAACGGCTAATCTGTTGACCTAACAATTGCACTGCTATGAACTTACTCTCCATTGTTATCTAGAAAGACACCAAAACATGTACACACTAAGCTACACATTACAGTACTGTTCAAAATAGCCACAAACAAATTATCTAAATATCAATCAATATGGTCCCCCATCAGTTGGTGCAATGGCTATGTTGCTGGACTCTCATGTAGTCGACCACAGCTTGAGTCCCAGGCCCGGTAGCTTAAACTCAAGCCAGGTGCGTGTGCGTGCATGCCCAAGATCCCAAAAGGAGAATGGAGGAGAAGGAATTGCGGCATGGCCATTTTCCCTAGAGGGTGACTTCTCGCTTTCTGTCTCTCTCTCTTTTTTTGGGGAAAACACAACCCCTAAAAAAAAAAAAAAAAAAAAAAAAAAAAAAAAGCAATTAATATGGGACAATTAAAATTATTTATGAACTATCAATACAATAAAATTCTTGAGGTTGACAGGTGGCATGTGGTTAAAGGCACTGGATTCCCACATGGTAGATCATGGTTCGATTCCCAGACCTGACAGCTTGTTCTCTCCCATTCTCTCTCTCTTTGGTCAAATTAAAAAATAATAATAAATGGAAATAAATAATTATTTAAAAAAATAAAATTCTCTAGGGACAGGTGGTGGCAAGATAGTTAAGGCAGCTGGATCCCACATGGCCCACTGTGCTATGCAAGTCCCAAACCCTGTGGTTTAAAAAACACACCAAGACCATATGCATGTGGGTCCAAATTCCAAAAGGAGAAATAAAGAAGGGATTGTAGCGTGTCTATCTTCCTTCAGGGTGTTGGGGAAGGTTCTCTCTTTCCTCTGTCTTTATCCAGTGGAAATTCACATCCTCTAGCAAACTAAAGAAAAAAATAAATTAAGGGGCTAGCAGGTGGCACGGTGGCTAAGGTGCTGAATTCCCACATAGCTAACCACGGTTCAAGTCCCAGACCTGGTGGTTTGAAAATCACAACAAATAAATAAATAACTGCTTAAAAAATAATTAAAAAAAAAAAAAATCTGTGTATCTTTTAGAAAGATAGACCTAGGGGCCGGCAGCTGGCATAGGGGTTAAGGGTGCTGAACTCCCATATGGCCAGCCATGGTTTGGGTCCTGAACCTGGAGACTTGCTTTCTCACTTTCTCTCTCTTCTTCTCTGATCAAATTAAAAATAAATAAATAATTCTTTAAAAAAAAGAGAAAGATAGACCTATAAGTGATAATAATGTAATACGCCCAAAATGTATAACAAACCATTGTAATTTCCTTTTTAGTAATAACAACAATAACAAAAGTATGTGTATTTATGCTCATATATGTATAGAAACTTACTAGAAGCATTAAGAAAAAAACTACCCATAGTCATTTAACACCTGAGGCATGGTCTGGGCATATAACTGAAGGAAACTTTCATTTATGCATTTCAAACTCCCCTGCAGGGATTCAGTTTTTTCATAAGCACAATCTAACTTCTAATATCAAAATCAGGGCGAGGCAGTGGCGTGATAGTTAAGGCAGTTGACTCCTACATAGCTGATGGTGTAATCAGAGCCCCAGAACCAAGAAAAACCCACATATGCTATATGTACATACATTCATGTCCAAAATTTCAAAAGGAGAGAGAAAGGAAAAGGGAATATGGTGTGACCATTCCTCATGGGGGGGTGCTTCTTCACTTTTCCACCCCACTTCTGAGAGCACATGTGCCCTCTGTTAAAATTAAAAATAAAAAATATAAAAATTATGTGTATATACACACACACACACACACACACACACACACGAAAAGTGATGACATTGCTTTGTCTAAGATAAAAAGCGGAACAGGATCAAGAATAATCTGGGGAGGGGACCAGCAATTAGTGTAATGGCTATGTCGCTGGACTCCCATGTAGTCGACCGCGGTTCAAGTCCTAGACCCGGCGGCTTAAACTCACGCCGGGCACGTGTGCATGCGTGCCCAAGATCCCAAGAGGAGAATGGAGAAGGGATTGCAGCGTGGTCATCCCCACTGTGGAGTGAGTTCTCGCTTTCTGTCTCTCTGTCTGTCTCTGTCTGTCTGGCAAGCGCACGTGCCCTATAGCAAAAACCTCTCCAAAAAAAGAAAAAAAAAAAAAAAAGAATAATCTGGGGACCAGCAGGTGGCATGGTGGGTAAGGCGCTGGACACTCCCACATGGCCGACCATAGTTGAGTCCCATACCTAGTAGCTTGCTTTCTCACTTTCCACTTTCTCTCTTCCCCCCCCCCTCTCTCTGGTCAAATTAAAATAAATGAATGAATAAATAAAATTGAATAAAACAATTAAAAAAAAATCTTGGAAACTCAAACATATAACTTTTCCCAAATACATTAAAACCAAAAGTCAAGCCAAATATTCCTCTGAGGGAAGACATTTACATGTACTGTGCCATTAAGGGGCTAAGTCCTGGGCATAAATACACACAGTGAGGCCCCACTCAATATGGTCTTATTTTCTCTCCTCTGTTCTAGTCACTCTGCCCCCAGCACATTGGGTCCTAAGTGGTCCTCAAACTGGTTAAGAAAAAATGACCTATCATCATTTTATAATACCCATAGTCATTTATTCTCCAGCCTCAGAGTTTTTGCACTTGCTGTTCCCTCTACTCATAATGATGCTTATCCTCAAATATTCAAATGGCTCATTCTCTCATTTTTCTGGATCTCTGCTCCAACGTCACAATATAAGAGCAGCTTTCCCTAACCAACTATACACACACATCACATATGTATATATATATACGTATGCATGTCTACATACATGTGTATTTATGTATGTATACTCATAAAAATACCCTACTCTCTTGGGACCAGCAGGTGGCGTGGTGGTTAAGACGCTGGACACTCCCACATGGGCGACCAGGGTTCGAGTCCTGAATTTGGAGGCTTGCTTTCTTATTTTCTCTCTCACTCTCACCCTCTGTCTCTCTCTGGTCAAATTAAAAAAAAAGAATGAATAAATAAAAAATAAAATAAATAATTATTTTAAAAATTTATTAAAAAAAAAAATCCTATTCTCAGGACCAGCAGATAGCATAATGGTTACACTGCTGGACTTCCACATAGTCGACTGTAATTCGAGTCCCATACCTGGCAGCTTCAAACTCATGCCAGGCACGTGTGCGTGTGTGCCCAAAATCCTGAGAGGAGAATGGAGAAGGGCTTTCTGTCTCTCTCTCCAGCGAGTGTACGTGCCCTGTAACAAAAATCTCTTTCTTTAAAAAAAAAAAAAATACCCTACTCTCTCAGCATTCTGTTTTATTTTCCTTCATAGCATGTATCTCCAATTGACGTATTACATATCTATATGTGTTTGCTCTCCTCCTCAGCTAGACTATAAGCTCCATGAAAGCAGGGACTATGACATGTTCCCAACTATAACTCCCAAACTTAAGACACTCAGGCACGATGGCATATGTTTAATACATATTTGATCAATGACTGACTCAAACAGTGCAAAATTAAAACAACTTAACAGCACAGAGAATGACTAGAAGTTGAAGAAGGTTCCTTTCTTTGCTGTGTAGCAAGCAGAGTCCCTTGAGTTTGTTTTGTTTTTTTAACTTCAAGAGATTTTTGCTACAGCGCACGTGCACTTGCTAGAGAGACAGAGAGACAAAAAGCGAGAAATCAGTCCCTGGGGTGGATAGCCATGCCTCAATTCCTTCTCCTCTCAAGATTTTGGGCATGCGTGCACACGTGCCCAGTGTGATTTTCAAGCAGCAAATCCAGGACCTGAACTACAGTCAGTCATGTGGGAATCTAGCACCTTGAACACTACACCACCTGCTAGCCCCCACTTTCATGGCCTCTCGATAAGAAATCTGTTTTTCTCATTTCCTTAACACACTCTTCAGCAGTAGTTTATGGTCTACTAGTCCTCATTAAGTGTAAACTGTGAACCACCTAATGAGGTATATGCAGGTAACTGGTCATTTTTCTTTCTTTCTTTCTTTTATTTATTTATTTTTTTTTTTTTTAGAGGTTTTTGCTATAGGGAGCATGCACTCACCAGAAAGAGAGAGAGAGAGAGAGATAAAGAGATAGAAAGCAAGAAATCACTCCCACCCCCCAGGGGGTATGGCCCTGCCACAATCCCTTCTCCTCCATTCTCCTCTCGGGATCTTGGGCACATACGCACATGTGCCTGGCACGAGTTTAAGCCACCAGGTCTGGGACTCGAACCGCGGTCAGTTACATGGGAGTTCAGCGACATAGTCATTATGCTAACTGCTGGTGCCTGGTCATTTTTCTTGTTTCTTGCTGGAAAGAGAATTTTTCAGAGAAAAACACTCAATAAACTAAATGGCTCACCACAGTTAATTTCCTTGCAACCAGATCTATTATTATGGACAAGAGGCCATAAAAAAGAAATGCTTTTATTTGAGGGATGGTTAGGGCACTGGACACTCCCACATGGTCAACCAGAGTTCAAGTCCTAGACCTAATGGCTTGCTTTCTCTCTCTCTCTCTCTCTCTCTCTCTCTCTCTCTCTCTCTCTCTCTGTGTGTGTGTGTGTCTGTGTGTGTGAGAGAGAGAGAGGGAGAGGGAGAGAGAGAGACTCTCTCTCTGGTCTAAATAAAAGAAATGCTTTTATTTCAGTAGGCAATTCATTGCAATTCTAAGCCCACAACTACTGAAGAAGTTAGGAAACTAGATCACACCAGACACAAAACATTTCTTCAGGATCCTAACTGCAGAGACAGAGAGAACACAGAACAAAGGGTGACACGAAGCTGGGGCACACTAACCTAGAGAGTTGCAGCCTGGTGTAGGACACTTCATATTGAAATTGTAGCTTTCGTGGAAGCGACGGCGCTTGGGGCGATGAGAGAGATCACTGCCCGAGTCCTTCAGGGACATGTCCTTGGCAATGCTCTCATCGTGAGAAACATTGGGGCTGGAGATGTCTATGTCAGACTCAGAAGAAGGTGCATTTCCAGTTGGAGTTCGAGGTGGTGACTCGTCATGATCAGCTGTATTTTTAGTTTCTGAAGCAAAAGCAATTGGTAGAATTTGTGAATGGAGTTCACTGATTCTGAGGTTTACAATTTAGAAGAGTTTACAGGCTTCTCAGAGTCTCTATGACCTAATAACTTTTAGCTATTTATTTGCTAAAAGAAAACTGGGGAAATGAAAAGACACTAACACTAACCATCCTTTTGTGCATCTTTAAATTATGACTGGAATTAAATTTGGGGCTTACCTAATGTATTTCACTTACCTGAATTTCTCCTTAGATCTCAATGATGGGTAATCAAAACTAGATGGTAATAAATTTTTAAAATGATACAATTCTACTTTCCTTCCAGGAGGTAACATGGGATAGAAAATTAAGTAAAAACAATTGTCTTTCTGGATGACACTGACCAGACCTGGTGGGAGAGCGTGAATGGGTTTAGACTCTTGAGTTAGTTTACTGGTCATCAAACAACCCAGTCTTCAAATTCCAGACTAAATCGAGGGTTGCAAACCAAATGCCTAGCGGGGCTGTGTAAAGCCAAAAGGACAGTTCGTTGTTTATCTAAAAGGGACAGCTACTATTCAACTCCAGCCAATTATTACTTATGGGTAAATGACCACCCAACTTTCCTGAATCATTCCATTAAAAAAAAATAACTTTTAATCCTGGTTTTTATATGAAATCTCTGTATTTTCAAATCCAGGCAACAAATTTTAAAAATTTTAAACTCTGTGAAAGCAAACTAATAGACCATGTTGGCAGGCTAGAAGCTCACCAGTCTGTAAGCTCTGCTTTAAGACCTCTGATTTGGGGGCCAGCAAGTGGAGTGGTAAGTAAAGGTGCTGGATTCCCACACAGCTGACTGTGGTTTGAGTCCCGGACCTGGCAGCTTGCTTTCTTTTATTTATTTATTTATTTATTTATTTATTTATTTATTTATTGCTATAGGGCGTGTGCGCTCACCAGACAGACAGAAAGAGACAAAGAGACAGAAAGCAAGAAATCACTCCCCAGGGGGGATGGCCACGCCGCAATCCCTTCTCCTCCATTCTCCTCTCGGGATCCTGGGCAAGCACGTACACGTGCCCAGCGTGAGATTTAAGCCACCGGGTCCGGGACGCGAACCGCGGTCGACTACGTGGGAGTCCAGCAACATAGCCATTATGCTAACTGCTGGTCCCTGCAGCTTGCTTTCTTGTTTTCTCTTTCTCTCTCTGTATCTCTCTGGTCAAATTAAATAATAATAATAACAAATGTAACTAAACAAATCACTCTTTTGAAAAAAAGATTTTTAATAAAATCTCTGATTTGGGCTAGTAAATCACAATCTCAATAGCGTAACATTCTCCATTACTGAGGATCGCTCCTCCTCAGGAATCTGGCGGTAAGTGGACTGATAAATATAGCTATACAAAAGTTTGGTTCAAGCTTTGTTTATCTGTGGCTGAGCAATTTCCAAGCCCTTTCCCCTACTAGTCTAATCTAGTGTACTTCAGCTGCTGTAGACCTCAAGAACACCTTAGTAGCAAAGTGTCTTCAGCAAGACATAAGAAAGGAATCAGGCAAAGAGCAGCCACTTAGCACTTGTCAGTATTAGACAACCATCTGCAGCAGCCCCAACTCCTCCCTAAAAGGAAATTGACCATATTCTCTGTGATGGGTTCGAGCCATACCATAATCACTCACCTCTATCTGAAAAATCAACCACTTGCTCGGTTTCTGAGCCAGACGAACGAGTCTGCCGAAGTGGGTATTTTTTTGGAGTCACTGGAGTAGGCTGCTGCTGACTACGGGTCACTCTTCTGGTAGAATAAGCAGGCTCCTCAGTGCCAAAAGACTGCAAATTTCGAACAGGGCTGGAATCTGAACCCAATTTTAAAAGACAATAAAATCATTAAAAAATAAGGAAACCTGTTTTTTGTTTTTTTTTTTTGAGAGTTTTTCACTGTAGGGCGCGTGCGCTCGCCAGACAGACAGAGAGAGACATAGAGACAGAAAGCGAGAAATCACCCCCCAGGGGGGATGGTCACGCCGCAATCCCTTCTCCTCCATTCTCCTCTCGGGATCTTGGGCACGCACGCACACGCGCCCGGCGTGAGTTTTAAGTCACCGGGTCCAGGACACGAACCGCGGTCGACTACGTGGGAGTCCAGCGACATAGCCATTACGCTAACTGCTGGTTCCCAGGAAACCTGTTTTTACTTCCCTCCCATCCATATAATTTATTAGAAGGTAGCTACTCCTCCTCATCCCCTTCACATACTACCAAGTCCAACAAACCCATACATTACCTGCTTTACTACATAAAATATAACCAACAGCTGAGGTATAGAAACACAGTACAATACAGTGTCAACAGTTTAGGTTCTAGAATGAAGACTGCACTTGCGTCAACTCTATTCCAGCATATCAACTAGCTATGGTGACTTGGGCAAGTTCATTTCTCCAAGTCAATTTCCTGACCTACTACAAAATGGGAAAATGCTAGTAGTACATTCCTTAATAGTTTGCAGTGAGGAATCTAAGCCCAGATGACGAAATGCACTTGAGTACCTTGAAACTACTTTCCAACCCTGAGATCCTCAATTCTTTACTACTAAAGCAAAATTCTGGGTATTTACACAATGATATTTGGATAAAACCCTTTTTTTTGGAGAGGTTTTTGCTATAAGGCACGTGCACTCACCAGACAGAGACAGACAGAGAGACAGAAAGCGAGAAATCACCCCCCAGAGGGGATGGCCACGCCGCAATCCCTTCTCCTCCATTCTCCTCTCGGGATCTTGGGCACACACACACACACACACACACCCCCGGCGTGAGTTTAAGCCACCAGGTCCAGGACTTGAACCGCAGTCGACTACATGGGAGTCCAGCGACATAGTCATTACTGCTGGTCACTGGATATAACTCTTTATAGATCTACTAAGCGTATAACCAACTACATTCCAGAATTAAATATAGTTTTAGAAGTACTGGGCCTCCTCCAATAACAAGTTCAAGAGACTTTTTTTTTTTTTGGAGAGATTTTCGCTACAGGGTGCGTGCGCTCGCCAGACAGAGACATAGAGACAGAAAGCGAGAAATCACCCCACAGGGGGGATGGCCACACCACAATCCCCTCTCCCCCATTCTCCTCTCAGGATCCTGGGCATGCACACACACGCGCCCGGCGTGAGCCTCAAGCCACCAGGTCCGGAACGCGAACCACGGTCAACCACGTGGGAGTCCAGCAGCACAGCCATTATGCCAACTGCTGGTTCCCTCAAGAGACATTTTTAAAACTCAAAGCCGGAAGTACTCAAACAGAAAGGGAAGAGACTGCAGTCCCATTTTATTGACAGGAATGCTGTAGTCTATCAAAAATATAACAAGTGACTGAAGACTACGAGGGGCAAGGCCGGCAAGTTGAGTAGTGGTTGACGGCGCTGGACTCCCACATGGCAAACTGCATTTGAGTCCTGGGCCTACCAGTGTGCTTTCTCACTTTCCCTGCCCCTTCCTCCCTCTCTCTCTCTCTCTCTCACCTGCTCAGTCCCTCTCTGATCAAATTATAATAAATAAAGTTAAATAAAATAATTCTTACAGGAACAAAAAGATTATGAGGGGTCTTCCAAAGTTACCTAAGAACTATGCATGGATTTCAAAAATAAACTGCACCAAAAAAAACTCACACTCTAATTCTATCTTTCCACAAGCTTTTTGAAGCCCCTTTGTATATGTCTCCCATTTATTGTAACAGTCATAGTTTCTCTGAATCTTCCAATCGGATAAGACCTCCAACAGAAGTATTTTTAAAGACCTGCTACTTTGGGACCAGTAGGTGGCTCAAGTCCTGGACCTGGCAGCTTGAAACTCATGCTGGGTGCATGAGCATGCATGCCCAAAATCCCAGGAGGAGAATGGATTGCAGTGTGGCCATTCCCCCTGGGAAGTGATTTCTCACTTTCCCTCTTTGTCTCTCTCTGGCAAGTCCATGCACTTCTGGCAAAAATCTTTTTTTTTTTTTTCTTTTTCTTTTTTGAAAAACTGGCCTGCTGCTTCTGTGCTTGCTCTATTCAGGTTATCTGATGCACCTAGTCGCGTACGAGTTTGCACACTAACTAGCACAATAACACGAGGATCAGCTGGTTGTGAGAAATAGAAAGAATGAAGACCTTTACCTTGAGAACTCTGGCTGAGCCTGGCTGAGGAGCGCGTGACTCGGGCAGACCGTCGGGATGTGCCGTCACTCTCCGAACTGTCTGTGTGCTCGAGATCTGTAGAAAAATCGGAATCTTCGGTTCCATCTGAACTACTGCCTGCATTCCTCTGTAACACCATAGATCCAGATATTAGCAGAGAAGCATTGACTCTGTGTTTTTATTAACACTGGAAATAAAATAAACCATGATGCTGGGAACAACAAGTTCAAACCTAAGAAGAAATTCCACAAGCATTTTCCTTCTTTCCCAGAACCAACTTCCCTTTATTTAGGACATTTAAATGGAACAACCATTTAACAAATAAAGCAACTTTGTTAAATGATTAAAATTCTCACTGTAATCACTTTTCTTGAACCAACTTTATTGGAAATTAGTACCACAAACTAGTAATAGAAGTATGCAATTCACTGGCTGACATAAAAAAAAAAAAAAAAAAAAAAAAAAAAAGAAGTCTGAGGTAGTGAGAAAAATGTTGGTGCTAGGTCCCACGTAATTTCAGAGTGGCTTTTGTTTCAGTCTCCAAGAGCAGATATCACATTAAAAATGAACACAAACAGGGACCAGCAGATGGCATAATGGCTACGTTGTTGGACTCCCACGTAATCGACTGCAGTTCGAGTCCCAGACCTGGTGGTGCATGCACATGCGTGCCCAAGATCCCAGAGGAAAATGGAGAAGGTACTGCAGCATAGTCATCCCCCCTAGAGGGTGATTTCTCGCTTTCTGACTCTCTCTCTGGCAAGCACACACACCCTATAGCAAAAAAAAAAAAAAACCCTCTCAAAACAAACACAAATAAAACCACACGCTATTTCAAAATATCATGATCTACAACTTGGATTCCAGAACTTAAGCAGAAAAACATCAAAATTCTTCCTTCAGGCTGGCTCCATAATGCAGCAGTAAAGTGCCACTAAGAGAAGCAGAAGCATGTGGGCATGGCAACTGCAGTTCAAATCCTTGGCCTGGTCAGCCTAAACCATGCTGGGCATACAAGTGACCAAGATCTACAGACTGGAGGACTCGTGGAAGGGGATCACAGTGGGATCAGACCTTGTGGAGAGTACTTATCTCTCTCTCATATATATACACACTGTTTCAGGCGGGAATACTCTTATGCCATCTATCCTTTAGGTTTCCCAACATGAATACCAAAAGTACTGAAAAAAAAACAGCCTGCGCACGAAGACTCATGAATCTTCAAAAATGGGTTTTTAGGGACTAGCAGGTGGCGTGGTGGTTAAGGCGCTGTACACTCCCACATGGCCGACCAGGGTTTGAGTCCTGAATCTGGTGGCTTGCTTTCTCACTTCTTTTCTCTCACTCTCACCCTCTGTCTCTCTCTGGTCAAATGAAGAAATAAATGAATTAATAAATAAAAATAAATAATTATTTTTTTAAAAAATGGGTTTTTATAAAATCAACATTGGTGGTATGGTGATTAAAGTAGCTGGATCCTGGGACCAGCAGGTGGCATGGTGGTTAAGGCACTGGACACTCCCACATGGTCACTCACGGTTCAAGTCCTGGACCTGGTGGCTTGCTTTCTTACTTTCTCTCTCTCTCTGTCTCTCTCTTGTCAAGTTACAAAATGAATGAATGAATAAATTAAATAATTAAAATAAATCCTTGAAAAAAAAAAAAAAGTAGCTGGATCCTACATGGACAATTGCAAAGTTCAAGTACTGGACCTGGCAACTTGAAAAACATGCCAGGCACATGTGTATGTGTGCCCAAAATCCCAAAAGGAGGAAGAAATGGAAAAGGGATTGTAAAGTGACCATTCCCCTTGGGTAGTGCTTTCTCACTTTCTCTATCCTTAGTGAGTACATGTATCCTCTAGCAATTTTTTTAAAATCAACTTCTAAGTTAATAATTATATGCTCATTACTAACCTCCTGAGGAATAATGAGCATAACTTTATCCGTTGAATAATAACACTAAATGAGAAAGGAAGAGCATTTGCTAAAAATACAAAGTCGCAAACTACAGGTTTCTTTAAACAAAACTCTTAGAACCAGTTGTATTTGGAATTCCTACTTTTTTTTAAGATTTCTAGAAGGAAATACTTTGCAATATAACTTGCAAAAAAAAAATCCCATAATCAAACATATTAGTATTTCTGCAGCAAAATATATGAACAGTCACACCAAACACATAAGTCACAATTAGCCTCAGGACAGTTTCGGGCAGTTAAGCCACCAAACAAGTTACTAAAAACTTACATTTCTGAGGACATTCTGTATTTGAGAAATGCAAAAGGGGAGCTGTGGACCTATTCCAGGATACCATACTACACTGTACCTACATTTGGTGAGCATTCACATAAATACCACCTACCAACTTAACTCATTTTAGAAGATATTAAAATGTATAAATATTTAACTTAGAAAGTCTCTGTGAAGAGAAAGATTTCTATGGAAATAAGCAAGAATACAATCCAGGTTTCCAAATATTTCAAAGGTAACTAGCCCAGAAATGAGTGGAGGCCCCAGAAAGAAGCACAGAAAATCACTGGGATGAAGGGGGAATTTTTTTCTTTTTTTAAATAATTATTTTATTTAACTTTACTTATTTATTTATTTATTTTAATTTGACCAGAGAGGGACAGAGTGAAAGAGAGAGAGAGAAAGTAAGCTGCCAGGTCCAGGACTCGAACCATGGTCCGCCACGTGGGAGTCCAACACCCTTAACCACCATGTCACCTGCTGACCCCAGAAGGGGGAATCTTAAATGTCACCTAGTCTAATTATCCAGATATTTAAAATCCCTAGCCTCTGACCATCCATTTCCCCTGGTCTCTGGAAATCAGTTCTTTTCTCCAGCTTTTACCAGTCTACTTCCTGTCTTAACAACGGAATAGATCTAACTGTTCCTTTGTATATCTCCATTCAAATTAAAATAAATAAAGTTAAGTAATTTTTTTAAATGTTTAAAGAGGGGGGGAGGGGCAGCAGGTGGTGTGGTGGTTAAGGGTGCTGGACTCCCGCATGGCCCACCATAGTTCCAGTCATGGAGGATTGCTTTCTCTCGCTCGCTCGCGCGCTCTCTCTCTCTCTCTCTCTCTTTCACTCTGTCCCTCTCTGGTCAAATTAAAATAAATAAAGTTAAGTAATTTTTTTAAATGTTTAAAGAGGGGGGGAGGGGCAGCAGGTGGTGTGGTGGGTAAGGGGGCTGGACTCCCGCATGGCCGACCATAGTTCCAGTCATGGAGGATTGCTTTCTCTCGCTCGCTCGCGCGCTCTCTCTCTCTCTCTCTTTCACTCTGTCCCTCTCTGGTCAAATTAAAATAAATAAAGTTAAGTAATTTTTTTAAATGTTTAAAGAGGGGGGGAGGGGCAGCAGGTGGTGTGGTGGGTAAGGGGGCTGGACTCCCGCATGGCCGACCATAGTTCCAGTCATGGAGGATTGCTTTCTCTCGCTCGCTCGCGCGCTCTCTCTCTCTCTCTCTTTCACTCTGTCCCTCTCTGGTCAAATTAAAATAAATAAAGTTAAGTAATTTTTTTAAATGTTTAAAGAGGGGGGGAGGGGCAGCAGGTGGTGTGGTGGGTAAGGGGGCTGGACTCCCGCATGGCCGACCATAGTTCCAGTCATGGAGGATTGCTTTCTCTCGCTCGCTCGCGCGCTCTCTCTCTCTCTCTCTTTCACTCTGTCCCTCTCTGGTCAAATTAAAATAAATAAAGTTAAGTAATTTTTTTAAATGTTTAAAGAGGGGGGGAGGGGCAGCAGGTGGTGTGGTGGGTAAGGGGGCTGGACTCCCGCATGGCCGACCATAGTTCCAGTCATGGAGGATTGCTTTCTCTCGCTCGCTCGCGCGCTCTCTCTCTCTCTCTCTTTCACTCTGTCCCTCTCTGGTCAAATTAAAATAAATAAAGTTAAGTAATTTTTTTAAATGTTTAAAGAGGGGGGGAGGGGCAGCAGGTGGTGTGGTGGGTAAGGGGGCTGGACTCCCGCATGGCCGACCATAGTTCCAGTCATGGAGGATTGCTTTCTCTCGCTCGCTCGCGCGCTCTCTCTCTCTCTCTCTTTCACTCTGTCCCTCTCTGGTCAAATTAAAATAAATAAAGTTAAGTAATTTTTTTAAATGTTTAAAGAGGGGGGGAGGGGCAGCAGGTGGTGTGGTGGGTAAGGGGGCTGGACTCCCGCATGGCCGACCATAGTTCCAGTCATGGAGGATTGCTTTCTCTCGCTCGCTCGCGCGCTCTCTCTCTCTCTCTCTTTCACTCTGTCCCTCTCTGGTCAAATTAAAATAAATAAAGTTAAGTAATTTTTTTAAATGTTTAAAGAGGGGGGGAGGGGCAGCAGGTGGTGTGGTGGGTAAGGGGGCTGGACTCCCGCATGGCCGACCATAGTTCCAGTCATGGAGGATTGCTTTCTCTCGCTCGCTCGCGCGCTCTCTCTCTCTCTCTCTTTCACTCTGTCCCTCTCTGGTCAAATTAAAATAAATAAATAAATAAGTAAAGTTAAATAAAATAATTGCAAAAAAACGTTTTAATAAAGTGTGTATCTCCACGTAGAGAATTTACTAGGTCCTTCTACAGTTTTTTATGTCTGTTTTCCCCACCAGCCTATAATATATTTAGGCCAGATATCGCGTCTAAGTAATTACTGAATTCTCAATAATCAGCATGTCGCAAGAAGTCAGCATTTGACAAACTGGATGAAATTTTTCCCTATAATTCTGGCTCTGCCACTGCCTAATTAAGTAGCGTGGTATACTTGGATTGTTCAGTTGTAAAATGTGACAGGAGACAAGGAGTTTCTAAGTGAGCGACTAAGTCTCCTCTAATTCTAGAAAGTTTTGACTTTAAAACTGCGTTTTCCAGGCGCTGTCGAACTAAACAAATGAGAAAAGATTACGACTTAAACACCAACAGGCCTGAGTGCGATCCCTTGAGAGTGGGCGCTGGTTTTTAACCACACAGTCCTCTGCTTTGTTGTGGCCCCCACCTGAAAAAGAAAAAGGCCTCCAAGATCCCACCTCCACACCTACCCACCCGGAAGGGCGGGGATTCGCGCCATCCAATCAAAATCCTGCTAAACCGCGCCCCCACGGGATAGACTGCCAAGCCCAGCCAATCAAAAGAGGAGGGATCGGTCTCAACAGCCAATTGGAGCGCGATAGGGCCGAACCCAGACACCACCCCCGCACGAGGGGAGGTGACCGTTGGGCCCAAATAGGCGGTGTCACCAGCCAATCAATATGCTTCTAGATGTTTCAGCGGCCAATTAACAATTAGAACGCCTTCGATCCAGGCAAGCAGAGGGCGGGAATAGTTGCAAGCATAGGCCGAGACCAGGGTCGGGCCCACATTTTTCTGTCTGATATGGCTAGGAGAGTAGGTGGCTGAACTAGGTTTGGGGGAGCAGGAAGTTGGAACCCAACCACTGTGAGGCGTGGCTAACTGCGTCACGTTGCTCAAACGACAGCCCTTCGAAACCTGCCATCCCTCCGCTCCTGTTTCTCACCTTCCTTCGCGGCATTGCCGGCGGCTGCGGCCCGGCGGTTCCAACCCGGGCAGCGGCGGCAGCAGCAGCAGGAACGGTGGCTCCGGCGGGCTCCGTGGCGGCCTGTGTAGCAGTCCCAATCCTGCGGACGATCCCAAGTGCCTCCTGCCTCTCAGCGTCCACAGCCTTTTGCGCAGGCGCCGCGGGCTGAAGCGCTTTTTCCTTCACTTCCGGCCGGGGCTCACGTCACCTGACGTTATGGGCCAGAGAGGGTGCTGGGAGATCTGCTCCTTTCAGTGAAGCTAGCGAGCGCCATTTTGGAATTGGGCAGGAAGAGGTGAGGATAGTGGAAACCCGGGACAGCCATTTTTAGTTAGGTGAGTGGCTCCCTTTGTGGACCTGGGTAGCCATTCTTGTTTGGGGCAGAAACCTGAGCGTTGAAGTAAATGGTTCTCATCTTTAGCTTGGGCAGAATTTCCCTTCTCGGTCGTTTTAATTTGTGGAGTCAAGGAAGGAAACCCCCAGAATCCATCAGGTTGCTGAGATTTAACCCTTTCTTTGCTTAATTGGCAGAAGGATGTTTCCGTTTATCATAAAAACTCAAAAAGTTGAGAAGGAATATTTTGCACAAGAAACTTTTATGTTTTAAAAGCCAACCTGTATCTAAAAAGGGTAGGAACGGGTGCTTGAAAAGGGAACGAAAAAGTAGCATCCGTCTGGTAGAGGAGACGTTGTCCTTGCCCTTAGAAAACAGCAAGTGAGTTTGTAGTTCACGTCGCGGTAGGAGGCAAAACCATTCTCCAGAAGCTGTAGCTCCAGAGATTTCCCAGTTAGCCCTGTGGTGGATGCCCACCTCTTTTCCCCACTAAGTTTGGGTTTGAAAGCACCGGGTGGCCAGGGGTGAAAAACGTGGAGGTACCGGCACCCAATGTCGGAGAAGCACTGAGCCCCATTTAGCCCAAATGACCTCTGCTAAGATGCATGAGCCAAAGTTGGGGGAAGGAGCAGGGGTAAGGGAATATTTTTAGTGAAGCTGTGTTCACAAAGGAATGAATATTTAAATGATAATCAGAGCGCCTGGGAAGAAGTTGGTCTAGGATATTAGTAGAGTCTTAAGAAAAGGCTGGGAAAATGGAGAACGCGTTCCTGGAGGACCAGTCTTGAGAGGACCAAGTTTTGACCAAGAGCGAGTGGGATCCAGGCAAGCTCAGTCATTAAGTTAGGGTCCTGAGTCCAATTTCAACCCAAGACCAATTAAGATGGAGATTTCGCCCGGAGCAGGGCTGAAGAACAAAGCCACAGAAGGTATACATCTGATTGATGTGCTAAGCAGGGGACTCTGAAGAGTTAAAGTTCCTGACCCCGAGCCAGCACTCTCCTTAGGGATATCCTGGGCCAGTGTTGACACAGGCAGCGTTTAATGCTTAGTATAAATGCCTCTGAGTAACCCACTTAGGCTGAACTGCATTTAAGGACTTATTTGAAGTGGTTCACTTTTCTTCTTCCTGTGTATCCCATCAGCACTTAAGCATTTAATTTTATATTATTGTTATTATTATGTTATTTTGTACTTACTGTTGCGTTCCTGAGGTCATTCTTGGATGTTCTGTCTCTCCGATTATTGGTAAGGACCTCTTTTTCTGTTTGTTTTTAAAATGTTTTTGCTTGTGGGTATGTGTGCTTGCTGAAGAGAGAGAGAAAGTGAGAAAGTACCCCCCCACACACACCTGAGGATGGCCATGCTGTAGTCCTTTCTCCTCTTGTGATTTTGTACATGTGCACAAAATAGCAGTGTGTATATCAAGCCACTGGGTCTGGGACTCTGACCACATGACTCCCACCATGTGGGATCCAGCCACTTTAAACATTACCACACCCCCTGGTCCAGTACCTCTTACATTAAGAACATATCCCAATTCTTTTCCTTTTCTACCAGTATATCATTATCATTTTACAGTCTCTAAACATATAGCACGTTAAAATGGTGAAATGTTCCTCCTGGAGAGTAGTATTTTTAGAATAGGGGCTTATTCGGACAAATCACAAATATTCAACATTAGTTAATTTCTCATACTGACTTCCTTAACAATGACCCTGCACTAAAAGAATCTACAAAGTTTTTGTTTGTTTTTGTAGAGAGATTTTTTTGCTATAGGGCGTGTGTGCTCCCAGGAGAGGCAGAGAGACAGCAAGTGGAGAAATCATGCCCCAGGGGGGATGGCCACACCACAACCCCTTCTCTTCCATTCTTCTCTCTGGACTTTGGGCATGCACACACATGCGCCTGGAGAGAGTTTTAAGCTGCCAGGTCTGAGACTTGAACTGTGGTCGACTACATGGGAGTCCAGCAACATAACCATTATACCAGCTGCTGGTCCCAAAGAAACTATAATTTAATTTAGATGTGGTTCTTATCTTTGGAAAGTGTACACTCTGGTGGAAAAATGATCAAATCTGACACTAGTAGGGTAGAAATATAAGAGAGCAAATATGTATTTGAGATGAGAATAGACCAGCTAGCTATACAAGAGGATTTCAAAAAGCTTATGAAAAATTGGGAACCAACAGTTAGCGTAATGGCTATGTTGCTGGACTCCCACATAGTCGACCGCGGTTCGCGTCCTGGACCCGGTGGCTTAAAACTCACGCTGGGCGCGCGTGCGTGCGTGCCCAAGATCCCGAGAGGAGAATGGAGGAGAAGGGATTGCGGCATGGCCATCCCCCCTGGGGGGTGATTTCTCGCTTTCTGTCTCTCTGTCTCTCTCTGTCTGTCTGGCGAGTGCACGCGCCCTATAGTGGAAAAAAAAAAAAAGCTAATGGAAAATGGAATTAAGGTACAAGTTTAGGACTGGCTCAATAGCCTAGTGGTTAAGAGAGCTGGATCCCTTGGGGCCAGCAGGTGTGATGGTGGTTAAGGATGCTGGACTCCCAAGTGACCTACTGCGGATCAAGTCCTGGATGTAGTGGCTTGCTTTCTCACTTTCCCTCGTCTTCTCTCTCTCTCTCTCTCTCTCTCTCTCTCTCTCTGGTCAATTTTTTAAAAAATAAGTAAATAAATAAAGCTAAATAAAGTAATTACTAAAGAGAAAGAGAGCTGGATCCCACAGGGGCAAACCATGATTTGAATCTTGGCCTGGCAGTTTGGAAAACACACTGGGCACATGTTCATGCCTGCCCCAAATCCTGACAGGATAGAGAAATGAAAGAGAAGGAATGTAGTGCAACCTTGCCTCATTGGGAGGAGTTGCTTTCCTTTTCTCTCTCTTTCTGTATGTCTCTCCATCTCTCTGGAGAGCACATGCATCCTCTGGCAATGAGTAAGGAAAATAAAATTTAAAAAAAAAAAAAAACCAGAAAAGTACAAGTTTTTTTGGTACCAAAAAAAGTGAAATCCAAATATAGTTTTTTAAATAATATGCACTTTCTTGAACTTTTTGAAGACACAGCATACTTAGAATAGGAAAGAGGAAATCTTAAAAGTATTTCTTCCTTTCCTTTTTTTAAATCAAATCTTGTAAGAGTCATTTTTGGGGCCACCAGGCGGCATGGTGATTAAGGCACTGGACTCCCACGTGGCCACCTGTGGTTTGAATCTTGTCAGCCTGCTTTCTTATTCTCGCTCTCTCTCTCTCTCTGGTGTGTTCACGTGCCCTGTAGCAAATTTTAAAATAATGATAAATAAAATTAAATAACTCTTTGAAAAAAAGAGAGTCATTTTAATCACAACACAATTAACTCTTGAAACAGGAATTGATGTTGGTTTCAAAGCCTTTGACCTGTTGCCTCTGCCCATCCTCACTCCCCACACATCACATAGGCCTCTCCATAGTTCTCTCTGCCTTGTGCGCTTTCTCACAGGCTTTTCATCCTGCCTCAGTGTGTCTCCCACCCTCTTCAAAATTTTCTTTCTTCAGAAAGACTTCAGAAAGTCTTGCCTGGTGTAGCCTTTGTAAGGTAGCAGGGCATCGTGCCATATTACTTGTCCTGACTGCTGTGTTTCTCCCTTTCCTTACACAGTCTGGTGGATACTCTGTTCCCACTCCCTTTCCCAAATAGATAATAAGAACGTAAATATTATTTACAGTATTTGCTCTTGTAGTGTCCAGGACAAGACTTTGATGTCAGATCTGGATTTGAATCTCAGCTCTGCCATTTTCCAATTGTTCTTGGACAATTTTTATATATCTGTGCCTCATTTTCTTACCTACTGGCCTGTAAGTTCAGAGTTCGAATACATTATGGAGTATTAAATGGGAAGATAGGAGCATGGGCAAGGTTCAGAGGTGGTACAGCAGAGGAAGTGGAAGGTTTCTTCTGGAAGATTTAGGCAAGGACTCGTAGAAGAGGTGAAACAAGAATGGAATTTCATAGGATGAATGTCTGCAGTGGACAAGGGAAATAGAGGCTCTCCAAGGAAAGGGAACAGCATGTGCCAATGTGCAGAAGTGCGGGGCAGCACCGAGTATGGAATGTCTGACTCAGCATGGTGGCATTGAGGTGGTGGCTAGAAGAAGAAGCTGGAAGGGTTTTGAGAGCCATTGATGCAGGGCCTTCAATGCCCGGCTCAGGAGACTACACTGGAGGTGATGGACAATTGCTGAAGGGCTTTCAGCGGAGAAGTCCTCTGATCAGATATGCATTTTACAACCCTCTTTTGGCAGCTATGAGGCTGGCTGACCAGAAGGGGCAGAGACCCAAGGCAGGAGACCAGCCAGAACGCTGCTGGATAACATTAGACAGAGATGAGGAGGTACTGGAATGGGGAGTAGGAGTCATCTTTCATGTATGTCCTTGTGTGTTTTCTTGTGCCTGGGTCTTGTCTCCTCAGTTATATTTGTAAGCTCTAAAAAAATTTGTCAATCTCTAGGACCAGCAGTTAGCGTAGTGGCTATGTCGCTGGACTCCCATGTAGTTGACCGTGGTTAGAGTCTTGGACCCGGTGGCTTAAACTCACGCTGGGCGCATTTGTGTGCATGCCCAAGATCCCGAGAGGAGAATGGAGGAGAAGGGATTGTGGAGTGGCCATCCCCTCAGGGAGTGATTTCTCGCATTTTGTCTGTCTCTCTCTGTCTTTTTGGTAAGTGCACACGCCCTATAGCAAAACCTTTCCAAGAAAAAAAATTGTCAATTTCCTTGACAATACTCCCTTGCCAGTAAAGCAATAGGTTCTATATTTCAGATTCAAAGTGTAGCTGTTCATTGTTCTTTAGAAATACTATTTATTTGGGGCCGG